GTGGCACCGGCTACGGGTCGGCGGTCAAGGGCCGCTTCACCATCTCCAGGGACAACTCCCAGAGCACGGTCACGCTGCAGATGAGCAGCCTCACGGCCGACGACATGGCCACCTACTACTGCGCCAAAAGTGCTGCTAGTGGTACTGGTTATGTCAAAAGTGCTGGTGCTTATGGTGGTGGTCCTGGTGCTGGTGGCATCGACCCCAGAAACGTGTCCACAGTGTCCCTGCGCTGGGTCCCCAAACCTTCCCTAGACCCCTGTGCCCAGCCCGGGTCCCCACACCCACCCCAGGTCCTGCTCCCAAACCTCAGCCCTTTGATCAAAATCTGGTTGGTTTTGCCCCAAACCTCAACCATTTGCCCCAAATGTTGACCTTTTACCCCAAATCTCTATGGGTTTTGCCCCAAACCTTGAGTGTCTTTACCAAATCTCAACCGTTCTTGCCCCAAACCTCAACTGTTCACCACCAATGTCCAAGATTTTGACCCAACCGTCAACCATTTGCCCAAAACCTCAACTATTTCCCCAAAGACCAACTGTTGACCTCAAATTTTGACCATTTTTGCCCCAAAATGCAAATGTTTCGCCTAAACCTCGACCTCTTGTCTGAAACCTCAACTATTAACCCCAAATCTTGACCATTTTTGCCCCAAACCCCATCTGGTTTTCCCCAAAACTCGACCATTTGTCCAAAACCTGGACCCTTCGCCCCAAATCTCATTGATTCTGCTCAAAACCTGTTGGGTTTGCCCCAAACCTCAACTATTTGCCCCAAATCTCCACCATTCACCCCCAAACTCAGCCATCTGCCACACAACTTGACCGTTTGTCCCAAACATTAACCATTGGCCCCAAATTCTGACCGTTTCCATCAAACCTTGACTGGTGTTGACCCAAAATGCCACTCTTTACCAAAACCTTGACCATTTTTGTCAAAACTGACCCGATTGCCTGAAATCTCATTGTGTTTCCCCAAATCTCAACCATTACTCCCAAATCTCAACCTTTTGCTCCAAAACCCAACTGTTTGCCCCAAACCTTGACTTGTTTTGACCCAAAATGCCACTCTTTGCCCAAAGCCTTGACCATTTGTCCCAAATCTCGTTGGTTTTGCTCCAAATCTCAACCCTTTCCCCTCTCCCTGGGGCGGTGGCCATCCCAGGGACCCCGAACCCCTCAACGTGTCCAACCGCCTATCCCAGCCGTGGAATGGGAGAGGGAAGAGTTTGGGGAGGGGTCACCTGCAGCAGCGACGACCTGAGCTGGGTGCGACAGGCGCCCGGGAAGCTGGGGGGGGTCGCGGCTATTGATGACGATAGTGGTGGCACCTGGTACGCGCCGGCGGTCAAGGGCCGCTTCACCATCTCCAGGGACAACTCCCAGAGCACGGTCACGCTGCAGATGAGCAGCCTCACGGCCGACGACACGGCCACCTACTACTGCACCAAAAGTGCTGGTGCTGGTGATGCTGGTGCTGGTCAGATCAAGCCCCGTGTCCCCAACGTCCCCAAACCTTCCCCAGACCCCCGTGCCCAGCCTGGACCCTCACACCCAACCCAGGTCCTGGTCTCGGCCCTTTGACACAAGTCTCATTGGATTTACCCCAAACTTTGGCCATTTTCTCCAAAATCTTGACCGATTTTGCCCCCAACCTCCATCATTTGCCCCAACCATCAGCCCTTGGCCCCAGATCTCACTGGGTTTACACCAAATCTCCACCATTTGCCTCCAACCTCAACCCTTTACCCCAAATCAAGACACTTCCACCCAAATCTCAACTGGTTTTGCCCCAAACCTCAATCATTCGGCCTGAACCTGAAGTCTTCTCCAAAATCTTGACTCTTTTGGCCCCAAATCCCAACTGTTGGCCCCAGATCTCATTGGTTCTGCACAAATTCTGGTGAGCTTGACCCAAATCTCAACCATTTGCACCAAACATCAACCCTTTGCCTTAAATCTCGACTGGTTTTGCCCCAAACCTTGGCATTTGGGCCCAAATTTCATTGGTTTTGCCCCAATCCTCAATAATATTCACCAAAACTCCACTGTTTACCCAAAATCTTGACAGTTTTTTGCCCCAAACCTTGATCATTCCATCACAACCTTAACCATTTCCCCAAATCTCGTTGGTTTTGCCCCAAATCTCAACCATTTTCCAAAGCCTCAACTATTTTCTCCAGATCCTGACTGGTTTTGCTCCAAACCTCAACTGTTTGCCCCAAACCTTGACCATTTGCCCAAAAACTTGTCATTGTGGCCCAGAACTCGTTGGCAGCCCGAGATGGCGTCGGCCGTGTTGACCTCCTACCCGGGTGCGGCCATTGAGTGGGATGATTATGATGTTGGTGATGGTGGGACGCGGCGACTCCTGACTCCCCTGACTGGTTTTGCCCGAAACCTACAATGTTTGCCCCAAATCTCGTTGGTTTTGCCCCAAGACCTCCTCTCCGGGCATGGTCATGGGGTGGGACAATGATGATCATGATGATGACGATGGTGGGACGCGGCGACTCAACTCTCTCCTTCCTCCCTCCCCAGGGCTGCGGGCGGCCGTGACGCTGGTGGAGTCCGGAGGGGGCTCCAGACCCCCGGCGGGGCGGTCA